AACATGTCACTACCTCGAAATGCTAAAGGCATGAAACTAACAGGTCTGATATTTTCACATGGTAAATTGAATCCGAAAATGAAATCAACGAAGGCTTTATTTAACTTATGCAAAAACAATGTTGTTTGTTACAGAGATACTAAAGTCCTGATTAACCTAGTTTATGCAAAAAGTAAATATTAGGACAATGCAATTAACATAGAAAGATTATTCACGTAGAAAGTGTATAGTTAACACACACACAACATTGTAGAATTTAGTGATTGGATGACATGAGTAGATTAGAGTTTGAACCAAACACTTCACATAGTGAAGTGCAGTTTTAAAGCCATGATTAATGCAAATCACCATACGATGAGCCTTAGCAACTATGTGTTATTTCGTATAAAATGAAATTATGACAAGCTATATTATAATATAACGTTTGACATTCAGCAGATGAAAAGCGTTCACACAACAAATGAAGTGAGAGTGAGGCAAATCAAATAGAATTATTCAGCAGTATGAAGAAAATTAACTAGCTATTCCTCTCTATTCAAACTCGTCACAACGAGGAAAGTATAATTTACCTCAATCTAGTGAATGTAACAGTACACCCAGCATAATACTTTAAACGCTAAAAAAGATACCTAGTAGTCTAAGCCGAATTCTGCTAGAGTTAAAATTTTGCACCGATTCACTGGTTTTAACATAGGACTTTGCACCGATGCACAGCAGTTTGAGTCGCCACACTTCACTCAGCACACAAAGCCAGAGAAGAAAGAGAGAAAGTGAAAAGAAACACAAAATAGAGATAGTAAACAGATATATGAGGCAAAAAGGAATAGTAATATCGAAAAAGAATATAGTTTATATTGGGTATTATAAGTCGCAAGCAGTGGATTTACCTGCGCTAGTCACTGAGATCGATTTTGAGCCATACCACCAATCGTCTCCAGCTTTCATTGGTTTTTGCTGTCCCGAGGACCCCCAACCAGGAAGTCTACGTCTTCCTACGTGTCTTAAACTAACTGTCAAAGATTTCATTGACTGATGAAACTGTGTTCTGGTTGGACCACCACTGGCTCTTTTCCAACCTGACCCTGTGTCAGCTAACATTGCCCGTCATGTGAAACAGAATAATTTGTTTGGTAAATACACAGGATAATTTATTGCCCACAATCATATAATATCAATCGATTTCATCTAAAAAGAATCTAACTATTTGCTTCGATACATTTGCACACAAGTTTTCAGTGTTTTATGTTGGTGTTTATTACTCAATCGAAACTAGTTCTCAACTCCTTATAATATATACCGTCCTTTTACTTTGTCGCTTAAGTTTAGGATAGAACTTAGGCACTGTGATAGAATTAATTTCTATTATAACATATCAAGATACTCACAATTTTTAAATTTTATTAGAAGTAATATGTTCTATATCTCTCCTATTGGTATTGCATCATTCTAATCACACATGTTAGGTGTAGAGTTGATGAATGAAGATTCAGTCAACTACACCCAACCCAACACATGCAACAGGAATTACACAATACCAATAACAGAGTTATGGAGCATATTACGGCCAAGAAAATTAAAAGGTAAGAAATAGTGAAAACAAAGTTTGAAAGTTATGTCAGTATCTTGATATGATTATGAGCAATAAATTGTGTTCGAAACATCAACAGTAAATAATACTGGATCACTGTACTTTTATGATATAATTATGCCCCCGCCACATTCTATTCATATATTCAGCCGAAAACGAATTTACATTAAACGACAAAGCATAAGAAGTAGTATCGATTCAATGATGATAATAATAACCGCGAAACACTGAACACTTGTTAGCAAATGCATAGAAGCAAATAGCTACATTCTTTCTAGCCGAAATTTCCTTATATTAATTTCACCGAGCAATATTAATTAATCTAATATACTCAATCGATTTATCAAGTTATTCATCGACGTAAAATTGAAACAATGAAAATGTTGTAACACTAAAAACTACTGTAAAAAACGGGACTGAAACAATTTAAATGTTAGAGATGATTTGTAGCTCAAGATGATTTTCATTTAGTTGTATCTTCTGAGCCCGGTGGTTTAGTTGCGAAGTTTTCGTTGATTTTTTCTACACGACATATTCAGAGCATATTTCAAATTGAAGTGTGCACATATAATCATAATTAGAAACTTAAGGGAAGTAACTGACACAAAATAGGTTTGTTATAAAACCTACGATCCTGAAACTGACTTATTGAACTGTATATACCTGAACCATTTCATTTGCCTTGAGTGCAGAGTTAACGATATCATCACATATCCTTTGTAGTAAGACAGAGTCTGTCTGGATTCAACATAGAACTTGGCACCGAAGTGCAGCAGTTCGAGTTGCCACGTTCCAATCGTAGACATCTATGATCGAAAGCAGTCAACCTTTTCATGTCTTCAACTCGTATTGGCCATGTTTCAGAGCTATAGAGAAGGACCGAACGAACTGCTGAGCAGTACACACGTCCCTTGTTTGATAGCCAGATGTCACACTTACGCCAGAGATGGTGTCAAAGTAAGACAAAATCAGCAAAAGAAGCTTCCTTAGGTCTGTACCACGCTTTTTTTCTATCCAGTGAACAAAGATTACGTGAACAATATGTTCTTCTGCCTTCTAACTACAAACAGCAGACAAGCCTGAAGAAGAACAATACGGACCCTATGATGTGAACACACGTGAACTCAAGCAGTGTACCTCTACACACTACACAATAATTTATCCTAGTTATTTTTTTCGGCAAGAAAGTAAACCTCAAAAGTAATTAGGAGATGAAAAAGTGTTACTTCTGCTCAACAGAGTAGACCGAATAAAAAAGTCTGTGTTGTCGACATAGAACTTTGCACATATGTGCGCCAGTTCAAGTCGCCACACTCCCTCCTTGTAGCACACAAAGCAAGAGAACAAAGTAGAAGAAATGCATAATAGAGACAGTAAATAGAGGTGTGAGACAAAGGAATAGTAATAACGAAGAACAAAACAGTTTCATTGGAAATCATAAGTCACAAGGAGTGGATGCATCTGCACCAGCCATTGTGAACGATGCGTTTGAGCCATTTCAACAATTGTTTCCAACCATTGGTTTTTACCGTCCCGGGGATCCCAACCAGACAGGAAGTCTACACCTTCCTATGTGGCTGGCTTAAACTAACTGTTGTGGATTTCATTGACTGGTGAGGCCATGTTTTGATTTGACCGCCGCTAGCTCCTTTCCAGCCTGACCCTTTATCCTCTAACATTGCCCATTGTCGAGGAAGGCGACGACTAGGCGTGCATGCGTAACACACGTCCTAACCATCTCAATCGATGTAATTTCACAGCCTCGTCGATTGGTTTCCCCTCCTTACCTAGCGTTCGACGCCTAAACTTAGTATTGCTCACCCTATTATATCACTTAACACGGGAGATAGAACGCAGTCACCTATGATCAAAGACAGATAATCTTATCATGTCTTCCACTCTCAATGGCCAGGTCTCACAGCCATAAAGGAGGATGGAGCGGACTGCTGCGCAGTACACACGTTTTTTGGCTGACAGCTAGCCGGATATCACGTCTACACCAGAGACGGCGTAAACTGACATATGCGAAACTAGTCCTCTGTATCCGTGCTGAGATTTCGTCAGAGATCAACCCGTTGGCACTGGCTGATGGAACTTCCCAAATAAGTGAAGCGGTCAACGTGCTCTATCACTTCACTCCCTATTTCGAATCTAGGAGTCGGTGTAGTTCAGTCCTGTAAAATCATCTTCCATTTGGCGGGAGCGAATCGCATGCCAAACATTCGTAGATTGCACCTCAAGGTGTTCCGAAGACTCTGCATGTCGTCAGCATCTTCATCTAGCAGGACTATATCATCTCCATATTCTAAGTCAACGAGATTATTCCCTGGTAGCAAGTCAATCCCTGAGTCGCTGAAGTTAGTTAGGGTTAAGTCCATTAGTACATCTATGATGAAGTTGAATAGAAATGGGGATAATGGGCATCCTTGACGGACACTACTAGTCGTTACCACTTCAGATGACAACTCGCCGTAGGCCCTCACCTGGCTGTATGAGTACGAGTAGAGTGCCTTAATCAGTGCAATGTATTTGAATAAAAAAAGGCGAATTATTATGAAAAACACCCACTGTATAAGATGACAAATTCACCAAGGATTTATACGGGAAACGTTTCGAGATAAAATAAAATGTGAATTGTATGCTTATAAGTTGGTCACTACTTGGTTGCCACTAGGTAAAGATGTGACAACAGTATAAAAATTCCATATATTTGTGTATATATGTATGTATATTATGAGATATTATCATTCACTTAGCATAGTCATTTTCATAATTTTCTGCATAATGCACTTGATCACATATAAATGGAACAATTGGCGCATGCCTGTTTTGTAATACACACTGATGAATAGAAACATATAAACAATAGGACGATATAAATGCCATTAATACAAGTGTCTATACAACATATATCCATACATATATGGATGACACTTGTCGAAGGAAGATAATTTATAATAATAATAATAAAGACAATAATGAGCAGCAGACGCTCACCAAGTGGTTCACATTCCATGGATGCATGCATTATTACCCATGTGACATAATAAAAGAAATCCGAAAAGACTGTACAAAATGTCTAATTGATTAAAAAATTAAAAAATAAATAAGCAATATAATACTCCTAGGAAAAATTGAATAAATGCACACAAAGTAGTACATGCGTATCAAAAGATAAAAAAGGTTACTATCAAAAACAAAAGTATAAATATTGCAAGTAGAAACAACATCATTCATCATCGCGCTATTGAAAAGAAACTATTACAGTTGCATACTTCGAAATAAATATTTATATATACAGGTTATGTTGAAAACAAAAACACCCCACTTAACCTGAGAACACTGAGGGATGATCAATATTAAAGGGAACAAATGGAACAAAGATTAGAAATATTAGAATATATTCACTCACTATATGTTGAAAGACTGTGGTAAGACAAAAGTCCTTTTTCTGGTGAAGACTGAACCTCAATATTATGATTCGAATCAACTGAAGAGTTTGATATTGTTAAACAACTATTATTATTATTGTCTGTTGCCATTGCTGCTAAATCAAATGTATCATTATTAGGCCGAGCTTTCCTAATCGCTGGTGTATTTTGTAAATAACTACCACCATCACAGAAAGGATTGTGATCACTTGGACGTAACATTTGACAAGGAGTATCCAAGGCACTAGTAGTAAGAGCACGTTTCAGTGCAAAACGCGCCTGTGGCCTCCTTTGTACAACATTAACTGGTTGAACCGATTCAGGTTGTTTTACTTGATTTAAAACGCGAGCAACTTCAGTAGACTTTGCGCCAGCACCACCCAACGTGGCTGCAATCACTCGACGACCAACCCTGACAACCACCTCTGCCAAACCAAGAGGACTATCTACCATACTCGACGATAGTCTTTCAGAACTACAAGGTGCTACAGAAGGAGAAGTCACATCAGGCTTCTCATTACTTGAAGAATGAGTAGAGGTATTTTGTGAATGGCTGCAAACGTCTGAATAAAAGAAAGTGAAAGATGAGTACTGCAATATGGGCATGAGATATACTATAAAATGAACATACATTCCAAACCTCAGTAAAATTCGCAGTAACATACACACAGGATTCCTAACACAGAAAATGTAGTCTACAATTGCAGAACATCAAAATTACCACTCCACCTCAATAACCCTGGTCAATTAGTGTCAACATATTTCGGGAATTGCCGCACACAACTAGATGTCTTTAACCTCAGACTATTGAAATCGGCTCAACTGTTTCCTCAACCTATATAAGCCTCAGGTGTTTTAAGTTAACGACCCACTCAGGCTACTGAAGGTGAATTGGTACATGCATTATCCAAGGAGTACATACCACCGTTTACTCACTTTGATAACTTATTGATGCAATAATAAACCTAGCCACTCTTATAAGCTTAAAGCAATGTATCGGTACCTATCGTCACTGCCTTTTTCGCATACTTACTTTTCACTACCCGCCAGGAATCAGAGGCACTACACAGAATTACTGAGTTTACAATCGACTTACTTCAGGAGCCTGAAAGTCAGTTCATCTATTCATCTACTGATTCTACAACAATTGGGTATATTCTCTAGCTGTTAGCTTTCTGATGTTCGAAAACAGTCTGCCAGTTTTATACAGCAGACTGAGAATCGCTTACTCCGTCAAATACTTTTACTTCATAATAATAAGTTCAGAACTGTATCCAAATGCGAATGCTAAGTACAGATTCACGTATGTGCCACAGAATGGATGGTTGCCGTGTAACCACCTTAACATAACCCTGAGTCATCTCTCTTGTAGACTGGATACATGGTTTATTTGACAGTTTACGATACTTTTGTTTATACGGCAATTAGTTTAAATCATCAGTGACTTAGAGCACAACTAATTTTTTGGGGGCTTGAGAACCACCCGACCCTACAAACCTGACTTCTATTACCCATGCAATAAAATAATCAGTTGTGTTCACTGCACATGTACAATATTTTGCTATCAGTTGCTTTAAGTCTCAACGCCCACCAACTAGTCTTTTTTGACATGGTAGAAATGAGCTTTTCTGCCAACACCACTGGACTGGATCATTACGATGAGTAAGCGCATCCACCACGGCAGGGTAGCAGCCATTCAAACAATTGAATTTTCTACTGTGATGCAATTTCTGGTAGTTTTTCGATATTACCGTTCTTTTTGCCCCATGTCCCTGTTTACCGTCTCTATTTTGCATTTTACTCTCTTCTCTTGTATTGTCTGTCTTTTGTTTGGTGTGTCTCAGTAGCATACTTATCGCTCCTGCCCTGTGACACGGCAGCAGGAAGCGCGGTCGTTGTTAATCCAGGCCACGGCCGATCCGGCATGAAATTTTGTGAATTTGTTTGAATCATGGTATTGGATGGGGTAGCTGCTTTTTGTTTAACCGCTATCCAAACAACCTGCCTGGCATGGTAGAACCTCAAGAGACATAAGTCTCAGCCAGTATAGCTTGATTAGGTCATTGCGGTGTTCAAGCCCGACCACCACGTCAAGGTAGCAGCTTTCGGTCGGGTGTGGAGTGTGGTGACTCGAACTGCTGCATATCGGGGCAAAGTTCTATGTTGAAACCAGTCGGTCAGTCAGTCAGTAAAGAGAAAGCAACCAAACGAAATACTTACCTGCTGGTACACAGTTTTCCTTATTCTCAACCTGCATGTTACAGGAAACATCGCTTTCGTCCCCGATATGGAATGCATGCTTCGAAGGAAATTGAAGTTGCAGTGGAATGTCATCAGGTTTCTTCAGTCGAGGAAGCTGACAAAAACTGTCGACTTCACACAATGGTATATCTGGCTTTTTGTTTTCGTTTGGTTGTGGTTTAATACATGCCAAACAGGCAGAACTTACACGACGTGTGAGACGCTTGTACAAACGCAAATCATTTCTATGGTCTCGATGGAACATTTTCACATATTCTTGCGGCGTACACAAATGCTAAATGAACAAATAAAGTTAGTTTACTTACTTCTCTATTTCAAATTGGGCTAAGAACAAAACTGAAATCTATGTAAACTCACAGAGAATTTTTTATAAAATGCAGAGTATCCACCTTTCATAACATAGATCTCCGGAAAATAGAGAAACGGATAGCGGTGGTAATTTGACACACGATCAACACTTCGTAGGAATGCAGCCCTGAATTTTCATAAATAACATTAAAATAGTGAGTGAAAGGTACTCAATTAATATTCAGTGAATACAAAGAATAAAAACAAAAATACTATTCAGTCTTGTTTCATAGAGTAAACTAAGCAGATTTCCGGCAAAAGCCCAGGTGTACATCTATAAATTTCTAATACGTTTGTTGTCCTACCGATTCCATATCCTCCTGTGCTTTGAGTTTCACTAGAAACTGGTAGCATTGTAAGGGGTGCAGATGCTAGCCTCAAAACCAACTTCCTTTTCCAGACTTAGAACCAGCTAACAAATTAGATTAGGTTATTAGCCTCATTCAACAGCTACATGATGATGCCGTATGCTAAACTTGCCGAAGCCTTTTACCAGTTGAATAATATCACCGATCATCTTTTTGACTATGACAGACTGGACTATGCTTCAGACTGTTGAAAGTGAGAAGTGTAGCATATATTGGAACGATGGAACGACCTGGGAAGATTTGAACGTCATTGACTTATGTCTCATGCAGAAAAAACTCGAAAACTAACAAGTTTGCATAAGAGCATAGGCGGAGATAACACTATAGCCAACAAAACAACAAGCACCAACCACCATCAACGGGATGAATGAAAAGGAAGTCACCTCCACTTCATTATGGATGAGATTTTATTCTGATAAATCACACAGTGTTAACGTTTCGAGTACAAATTATTGCTCAAAATCATATGAAGTCACTCACACAATACTTTGTGCTCGAAACGTCATCAGTTAACATTAATGTCAACACTGTGTAATTCATCTTATCTATTAGAGACTTGTACTCTACCATAGCGCCCAAGTTTTATACTTATATCAATAATCCCCTTCACTTACCTGAAGTCAGGTGGTACGAATGACGAGAATCAAAGCCAGGATCAGGAACTCTGTGAAGATTTACAGAACTTTACAGCACTAATGTCAAGCCAGCGGTTCCATATGATTCAGAAACATGGAGTTTCACAAGAGGAATTTCCAACAGCCTGCGGAAGTGCATTAGTAACTCTCACTGATTCCATACTGAAAATTAGATGGCTGACCGGAAAGAGTAAGCGCAACAAGACAGTCAACAAGCCACAAACTGCTCAAGGTGATTTTTGGAGTTGCACCCGTATTAAGATCTAACCACCGGCTGAGGTCCGCTGCGAAATAAGTCGGGATGTACGATTTTCAGGGCCGACAGCTGTTAATGCCCTGTACTGTCTAGAGAGTTGGGAGCATTGCTGATGTGCTGGTCGGCTAACTGTCGTCAGATCCCTGTTTCGCCACAAACACCTTACATTGTGCACACAACTTACAATATGACAGTAACTGCTTTTAGTCTAACCGCTATTTAAACAACTTTCCTGGCATGGTAGGACCTGCAGGAACATAAGTTCCAGCCAGTGTAGCTCGTTTGGTCATTGCGATGTGCAAGCCCGACCACCACGTCAACTTAGCAGCTTTCGGTCGGGTCCCATGTCCTACCTGGAAACCAAGGAACAAGTAATATCCTAACAGCAATTATGAAACACTGGGTAATGTTAAAATACTAACTTGACAACATCCTAACTGGTCCAGTGAAGAAATAAATGCACACAAACAATTGAGAAGTTATTGTAAAAGTTAAATAGTAACATTCATAAAATATTAGTTCACCAAGAATTTAAGTATACTTACAAGGCAGGTGCACGCTGAGAGGAAAATTCACAGTGAAAAATGACAACAAATGGAGGGTCTTGAGTGTTTGAGTCACCGGAATTCGCTGTACTACTGCTGATATAACTGAGATCTGGCTCTGATTTCGAACTATCACCAAGTAGATTTGTCTCCGTTATACCATTATCATCGGCACATGGTAGATCAGAGTCAGAAACATCTGAAGTCGTATTTCCAAAAATTTCCAAGTCATCTTCATCATCAGAAAGAAGCTCACATGGTGCGGATAGTGGTTCTCGCTGTGTTACTGCTAATCTTCGACCTAATTCTTGACCAAGATATCGTGGGGGTCCAGACGTACCAGGAGGCCGCTGTGCTGGTACACGATTGAAAATTTCTTGAACAAGATCGCTGTGGGTGAAGATATTGATTGCACCTTTAATATGTCCACCTTCATACTCGTACGGAAAGCGGCAGTCTACAATGACAAAATTCACATTTCGTTTGTTGTTGCCCGACACCAAATCAGCAACCGTTTCGGTTGACACACAGTGTAAACCGGAGCCAGTCCTATCCACAACACGCAATGCACGTGACCGCCTTCCATCGCTGCACAAACTGTGACTGCTCAGAGAGCCGATACACTTTGCAATCTATTGATAAAAAGTTAAAAATATTAAAGGGGAGTGTCAATTAATTGTTAATATACGTGAAATTTGAGAAAAGATATGTTTATTCATAGCTGCAACTAAATCATGTACGACTGTAAAACCGTTATAACTTAGTTCTGTTTCACCACTATTAAATTCATGTTAAAAAAGCTACACCGTCAGCTTAGGTGGGGATTTGATTACTGCTTATAGGGTCGCAAATGACCAGGATCACCCAAAGGTGTTCTGCTATTAAGTAGGCATGTGCCTCGTCGTAAAAATCCCAGAAGGCAAAGACTCAAGTACGCTCCCACTTCTTCTCACTGCGTGTTCATCGTCCGTGGAACTCCTAACCGGTAGGTGCAGCTACAGCACCATCTGTGGACAACTTTAAGCGAGGACTGGACAATCATGCGGCCACACAAGGACTGAGTTTAAATCGCCTATCCCGTCAAATCCCATACGCCATTAATGGGTAGACATCCAAATTCATCGATTCACTTCTTTATATTCTCTCCTGAGTAATCCAACTGCTACACTTACACTTATTATTACTGATATATATATATATATATATATATATATATATATATCGACTTCAAATTTAATAAACTCGGTTTTTACGTTTTCTCTATTTCTTTTGTCTTTTAGTCAAAATAACCTACAAAAATTATATATTATTATATTATATTAGTACTACTCCTTTTGGAGTCAGCCAAAGCTACGGCAGACAAGTGGCGAGACGAACTACGCAGAAGTTTATCCAAGGCCAGGAACCTTTACCTCACAGTTAAGAAGCACAAAAAATCAAATCGGTTTACACCAGCTGGTAAAAACAGTATTGGATATTGGAACGAAGTAACTGCACATAGAGATGATTTCTTTAAAAAAAAACTGGGTGTATATGGTTGATTTTTATATGCAGGTCTGAACTTCCCCATAGGCGGGAAACGAGTATCAAGACTGGTGACAACATATCCCATTTGTAGAAAAGTGTCGGCCATTTCAACTGTCATATAACAATAATGCAAACCGGTGTGAACTGCTGAAATAATAATCCATGATAGTAATTGTTATGTGTAACACAAAAGCAGACATTTATTTCAACCAAGTAGAATTTAACCTAAATACTATAACGGACCAAGAATCTCAACGATGTAATACACATATGTAAGGATTCCTGAAAAACAGTTTCGCGTAATCACACACGAACAAGCAGGTTATGAAATAGTAACCAAAAAGTCACGTGCTAAAGTCAAACAAACTGCAAGGATACCTCTTAAGGAAGGAATATCTGATGAGTATCAACACAGGTAAGATAGAACTACATCACTATATATACAGTGATTGAAAATTATATATACTTATATAAAATTACTGTCTCGACGCATCATCACTACATATTTTAAGAGCTACAAGCTACAGATAATATATGTTAAGCAATAACACATTAGGAACGTACTCTATCGTATGAAATTGAAGGTAATTCGGAAACACATTTAGACATAACTGGTTTGTGTAAATCTCCTTCAGCAATGACTTCTACAGGGGATCTTGGGCAAGGTTTGTATGAATAAGAAGATGGCATAGGAGTTGAATGATGTCGCAGAAGATCAAAAAATGGTCTTGGCATATGATTTGAATTTGGAAATAAGTTTCCAGCAATTTCATGGTCTGAAACATCATTCACATCCTCTGATGGTAGTGTAACGTCCAGATTAGACTTCGTGGGAGAGTCAAAACGTTGCTTTTTGATCACAGGGCACACTGAACTGTTTGATAAGTCTACTTGTTTTCTTGGGCTGGGACTTTTGGATGATAGAAAACTCATGATATTTGACTTTACTGGCGAGTCATCTGAAGTCCCAGATGATCCCACTTCGCCAACTGGTGGTAAAGAATAACGCCTCATCATTGACTGATTATCGTGACTTATGACAGCGGGACATGAATTAGTGTCAACATTCAAAATGGAGGAATTCGAAGCCCCTTTCACTTTACATATACCAGATATCCGTGGCCACTGCTGCCGACGTTGTCGTTTGGCAAGCCATCCCCGACTTGAGCAGGAGTGAGCTCTGCGAAGTTTGCTCTCAGCAGGTGTCAAGTATTCCGAAAAACAGTAGGCACTTTCAATTGTAGAAACAGGCTGATCATTTTCAAACGCATTTGTTTCACAAACCTATAAATTCAGTAACATCACAAGTTAGCTTTTATAGACTTACGCGTTCACATATGCAAGAAGCTGGGGCAGAGTGAGTTGTGGCATTACTGTAGTAACCCGATGAGCAACTGTTGGAACCTTCACGAACTAAGAATTCTTGAGTTTCAGGCCATGATGACGCTGTGGGAGGTTCTTGGTTTGCACTGAAAACAATAATGTTGCAATAATTTATGCATACCTCTCATCTATATCTGCAGGTACGATTTTTGAAATTTGACTCACTATTTAAACCCAGATGAGAATTGAAAGTGATACTCACGTTTTAGTTCTGTCTTCTTAGAAGTGTCAAGGAAATTAGCCTCGGAAAGTATTTTGGAAAGACGGGTGACTGGGGTATCGCTTGACAAAACACCTTTATTCATAAGTTTATCTTTAGGGTAATTTCCAAAGCTAAACATATAACCCACGCGTAGGCACAAACAAATCGAAAATCATCTGCGCGCTCATCTGCAACAAGATTTATACGAAACCCTCAACCAATCAAAAAGTCATGGATGACCTTGAACTTCAACAGCTGATGTGATTTGACGAATCACATTTGAGTTTCAAGCCTCAATTATGAACATTGTAATTCGTTACTGCGCACACGTTCACCAGTCTTGTTTGCCATTAAAAAATGACTTTTATCCATCGAAATCCTGATTTTTACTAAGTTTAGGTAAGGAAGATCAAAACGACCAGCGTACACTTTATTAATTAGTCGAACTGTATACAGTTTACATTTCAATTTGTGATATAACAAAAATGCAGCAGGTTGTAGATCGACATTATTGTAGAAGGTTACCAGTAGTTTTGTATGTACAAAATCTTGTCACATCACATTCTTGTGATACCTAACGTTCATTGAAGTCCGTGTATTTTGAATAATATTGCACTTTGGAAAAATAACTATGATCTCAACTTGAAGCATTTCGGGGGCAATTTTATTTTTCTTGACAATTATTTTTGAGTTTTACGTTATAAACACTCTATCTGCCTCAATGAACAGCATCAGTGGCCATTTTCAGTGTAAACCAGCATTCTGACAAGCTGAAAAACCAGCGATACAGTTGGCCAGATACACATACTCTCATCATCAGATATGTGGTAGACTGGCCTATAATTTTTGTGCAGCGGAAAGGTGATACCCACTCTCAGTACATCTAGCCTGCAGACATCAACTTCAGTGCCTAAACGACTATAATACTTACGATCCAGTGTTGGGTTGGCGTACATAAAGTAGTCCTTTACAAAGTCAGTTGTGGTGGTAATTTTATAACACAGCTCATAACTTCGCCTATTTTGGATGCTTATGTTAAAACCGAGGGTTATTGCTTCATGAACGAGAATCACTGAAAATTTACACACTGCAACGGCCGTAGGATCGAAGGCTTGTTGCGTGCGTTTTCTGACTAAACTGCTGTACACATATATTCTATGTATTTCTTCGTTCTTATTGATGTGCGCAGACGTTGTGGCTACTCGACGCCCACAACGTAAATCAAAAGGCACTTGTGAAGAATACGAATATGTATTGAAGCAGTAGTCAAATTCGAAATTGTGTCAAGGTAATCATCAACAGTCAATGGACAAATAATTGCGAAGTATATATAAAATCGGTCTGTATACACATATAATGCAAGTATACAAATTAGATTAAAAAGCATGTTTACAGTTGGTATAGGGGTACTACAGGCTATTCTAATCCTTTTTACGTGCTGTTCAGTAGACATCTAACCGATAAAGGTGCTGTAACAACAAGTATCAGCATAGAATTCTAGAATTCAATGTGAAAAAAGGAATTTCTCAATGTAGATGGTTGGCAATTTTTTGAGTTTAAAGTTTATGTCTTTACAAGTAAATGATTCTAGTAGGAGGAGTAATTTGGATAAATTGCCACTCGCACTATCCGGAATGCTGATCTAAAGCGGTCCCTAAGCTGGTGATATGACAGTGAAAAAAATCTAGGAGATTCGGCCTGTCCTTCCCTAAGAGATTTGATAATCCCTTACTTGAAGCATACGTTTAGTCTCCAGTTTTCTCAACCTTGTGATATCTTTGCTTCGTATGTGAAACATTGGTCTACTGCGTGGATCCCGTATTCCGAATGAGGTGAGATATGGTTTGAAGCTAATGTACACAATAAGCCAACACCAAGTCTTACAAATGCCATCTGTAGAGTACGGAATTTTCGAAAACCCTTCAAAGTTTTCCAGCTACTCGAGAATTCTTATCAGTTAATCTAGACAGAGTAAGGTTATTTATTCAGTAGTTGTGCATATCATTGTGACCAGTATGCAAAACTAGACGCTGGCCTGCATTCATTTCCTAAAACTAATGGATACACTAGTAAACTCGAAGATTTCCTGCAATGCAAATAAATGGCTGCCAATTTGTAAAGCCTCGAAAGGGTCAACGTCGTCAGCTAGCATTAGATAAGACGACCCAACTGCCGGCGATATCCCTCCCCCACACAAAGTAAAAAAGAAACAGGGTCTAGAATGATACCGTGAGTTACATCAATCTTCACCAGTTATCATGATAAGAAGACACTGTATGCATTCATTCTCTGTTTCTTAACCTTGAGAAGGTTCCAAATCAGGTCTTCTACCACTTTACCAAGCCTTAAAATACCTAAATTTGTCATTAGAGTTAGGAAGGAAAGTCAGTCGACAGTCTATGGAAACTGAGTCCGCTGGTGAATTAACACTGATTGGATTTGCCTAACTTTCTGGTACAAAAAGAAGGTTGATCAAGCAAACCCTAAAACCATATTATTTCACGTCTAAGAATCTATCGCTCTAAACATACTGAACAACAGTGTCACGGATAAACCTGTACACCCCTGGCAGTTTGACGGCAGAGATAGTCAGACCAACAGGGCGGAGATTCTTGACCAAATTTCTAAGTCTAGATATTAGGCACACAAGTTTTATCTTCAGACCTCTTTTGTGGACAAATACGTGATAGTTTAAAGCCAATAGTTTTCATATATGCTACTCTTCCAATTTCTTTTGTTAGAGATAGTAGAAGTCATAGACCGATCTAATTCGTTGCCATCTCCGGAGCTAAAAAATGTAACCTGTGTTATTCCTAGCACTCTAAAAGAGTCTCTTCTTCCCTTTAAATATTCTGAAAACGCCAAATTCAAAGAAAGTTCAAAAACTTGGAATACTGTTTGAAATTATGCTGGTGCTTCCGTAGTTTATTACAAATCCACAGTCCCTGAAATAACCCGAATTTTCGCCAGGTTGACACAAGTTCTAGAGTATATCTGACAGATTGCGAGAGAGTTTCGCAAGAAAGCATTTTCACGAACAAGCTCTAAGAAGAAAACACATTACACAATCCCCAACCCCTAAATTCACACAGATGTACCTCAGTCAATTCAGAAAGACCAAGGCAGAGCAGGATTACTTCGATGGGGTCTATACCCTGCTCTACTGCCTATAGCAACAATTCCCCGCCTCACTACCAAAAAAGATACAGGTCCGGACCAAACGTACTAAAACGCTGTGTCCAAAATCTTGAAAGGATTAGATGGAGTGGGACTAGATGAATCTCATGCAAAGTTTTTCTATAAGCTAAAATGTCACGTACCAGTTCCAATGACTGCTATCTTCTGGATATTCCCCATTAAGAGAGTCTCACTGCTTTGCATGAAGGATACAACACTTATTCTTGTCTATTTTGAAGTGTTATACTTCAGAATAAAAGGCCAGTTTATATCGCTAGCATCTTAATTAGGATGCAGAAAAGAACAGTTAATAAGTTGTTGTAGCTCAACTTAAAGACGATAATTTGTTGTCCAGTGCACGGTGTGGATTTTGGGGTATTTTTTCTACTTGACATACCATTGCGTGGTAAGAGAAAGCCTTGCCAGATAGGAGGAAACAAGTAACCTGTCGATGCCATCCCCACAAATTTTAGTGAGGCATTTCATAAAATGCATAAAATTAGATTTTAAAGGAAACAAGAGGTCCCGGAATCAGAGACTGCCTGTTGACTTGCAGCAAAAATTGCTTATTAGTAGAAGCCATAAGTAAGAATCCACTTCAGAATCTATTCACGAATGACAGCATGAAGCACTGTGCCACAAAGTACCACACTCAGTCTTGCCTTACATTATCCTGGACTCAATGAATCTGCCATGGTCCCTTATTCCGATGAGAGAACTGAAGGAGATCAGAGACACACCCACACTGCAAGCAGACCTCAGAACTTTCCTAGGTTGACCAAATGGATGAGTGCTTCCTATCATTGTAGTTACACAGGCGACCATGCACATCAGACACTCAGCTGTAAGTACTACCACACAGAGAAAACACCCCTCACTATATTTCAGGGGCAAATGGACCTAGATGTCATAGTAAGTTAGCTCTTAAAAACTATGACTTACTGTCTCTGAGGTGCATCTTGAGACTTTAGAACTATTTGAGCGCTATGTAAGACCTTTACTAGGAACACAGGTAATGTATTCCATACTTTATATACATCTCTGACAAGATGCAAACTAGAATACTGCATCTAAACAACTAGTCTTTAGATAAATGATACCTAATGCATATTGTGAAGAGTTCAAATGAAGGTTACGCGTATGATCCTCGATATGACCGAGTTTCCATACGATGAGCAACAAAACGGTTTGAATATATTCACCTTATCAGACCATGGACAGAGAGGTCTGCTAATGACAGCGTTGTCATTTCTGAGAAATGACTGTGACCCTGAATTATCTTCTGTGTTTTTTTCCATAATTAAAATCTCAGATGACATAGCGCAAGAGTTGAAAGGCTAAGGGTTAATTATCAGATTCAGATTTATTGACTGAAAAAATAAGGCATCAAGTCTATGTCAATCCTTTTCTGATAAGTTTCTGTGCTTGTCTAAACCCTCCCTGAGTGAGTCAGTTGTGGATGCTGACATCACTTCTTCCGCAATTCGGTTCCAAGAGTGTATGACTTTGTGGGGGAACCAGCACCTCATATAGTTCCTCCCTGGCTTTTGAACCCTCCTGCTATGTCCTTTGCGATGTTTCAACCTTGTGTGAAGGAAGAGAGAAGATAGGTCAGGTTCATGGTCATTTCTTAGAATTTTAAAAACTGTAATGAGATCTCCCCTTCGCCCACGGTATGATAGGATGGAGAAATTCAAACTGTTTAGTTTTTCCTCGTAGGCTGAATTGGTCATAAAAAGAATCATAATTGTTTGCATCCTTTCTAGAATGTAGTAATCCCCCTTAAAACAATGACTGGACGGAAATCATCAGAGATCTATATAAAGAAGTGGACACATCACTGTTTACTTTAGTATATGCTTTGAGCGCTGTCCGTAAAGATCGAAAATGTCTAACTGTCACTGCATGACAGTATACTGTACTTTTCGTTTCATAACTCACTATGACACCTAGATCTATGTGAGTCTGAACTGATAGGAGTGTTATTGTCTGTAGTTAGTATCAGCTAACGATTTCGTGCCCGATGTACATGGCTACACGTTTCGCTGACTGTTAGCAATTATTCTTAGTACCAATCTAACGACTTTTTGAGATCTTGCAATGTGAACATTTTATTATAGCCCCTTAGTTTTCTTCAAATTTCTGAGTCATTTGCGTAGAGAACCATAGGGAAATCAGTGATCCCAGGTAATTCGTTGATAAACAGGATAAATAAAAAGGGGGCCCGCTACCTACAGTCGTCCAGGAGGACAGTTCTGAGCTAATCCTGACTCTCTGCCTCGTACCTATCAAGAATTCCCTTGTCCACTTTACAAAGACACCTTTGATTTCAAAATTCTCAATTTTTAGGCAGTCTTGGGGTAGGTCATTTGTTAAAAAATTCTCTGAAGTCTATGAAAATGACGCCGACGGGTTACTTGTTGTCTTTTCAGTTTATGTCTCACTGATATACTGGAAGTCACCCTAATTCATTCAACTCTTGTGGCCGACTCCCAGAAGTAGTGCTACCTGTGCTCTCGATTGCTTCGTTCAAAAGGAGTAGAGAAGCGCTGATGCTTAACAAGGAAAACTAAAATAAGCTCAAGGCCTTCTGACTTCAGCCGAAAACTTGACTCCCAGTCTGGACCTCAGATGATGGAGAAAAACATTTAGGGCGATTAACACTCTAATACGTATTCAGCGTACATTCTAACAGGCTACGGACTTTGATCAGTTGGTGTCCAACTTCCCTCAATACTGGAGATTAGATGGCCTGAAAAGACGAGTAATAAGGAACTTTGATAATGAACTAGCCATGAAGCCGTCACCCGAAAATTATGAAAAACATAGTGCAGATGGATTTCACATACATTGAGGAGGCCATGTCAGGCAGTTTATCGAGTAGAAACATAATGAGAAACAACCAGTTGTACATGGGTCTTAAAGTAGAATGGAGGAAACTGTGTGAGAAGGAAGTGAAACCTTATGGGCAATCATGGAGGCAGTGCAGAGAACACAGTAAAACAGCGATTTGCTACTGGCGCACTGTGTTCCACTAGGAACTCAAGCGAACAACAACAATAATAATACGGTACTCTGCAGTTAGATTGCCCCCTCCTTTTATCATACAATAATGGGGAAAGATTGATTGTTTTCAAGTTTCTCTTGGCGGTGTGCAACATTCCTGTCACTCATTTAGAACCAACATTTTGTACTTATTTTAGAGATCTTTTCTGAAAGAACGGTTAGTGTTCTGGATGAATTTTCACTAAGGCATTATGCTACATCCTAAATAGATCTTCATCAGTACATCTGACTGTTCTATAAATTCATCAAATTACTTAGAATTCTCCAATCTCAGATGTTTTACATGATGATATTGTCTTCGAATTGTGGCCAAGAGAACTTGTGGGTTATTTTATCCCCTAACTCAGGGTAATGACTAATCACTGACGGTGTAAAAAGTGGAAGTTTATCATCCAACTTGCAGCGTTTCACTTTGATCTCCAGACTCCAGTGTATAGAGTATTCAGTCAATTTACTTAAGCCGTTTTGAAGCAAACCCATATTCATTATCATAAATAACCTTCTTTGGGCTATCTGTAAACAGTAACAACGGTGAGTTAAACAGTCTAGGCTATTTTCTGATTTACACACTTTATCAAGCACCTCACTACAGCTAATAAACTCCAAGCCAGCAGTCTTTACCCATTCCCCTACTAAACATGATCTCCGGTGTTGTTCCTACATCAGTAAGTCATACTTTTCGATGTGGCTCAGTAATTATCCGCTGAGTAAGTCAGTGACTCGTTAATTAACAAATTTCCTAAAACAATGCTTTATCTATTTTCTAAGGGTTGCGAACAAGCGAAAAGGGTCTCTGATTGAAAAAAAAAACAATTATGAATCTTATTGAGAAAGATCACATTCAGAGATAATCTCGACTACACAATGTGGCAAGTTCATTAAACCAGATAAGCTGCACATAGTCAGCATTCATTTCCCCACAGCAACTCTTCACTGACAACTTTCACAACTTCAGTAAATCCTTCTGTAAGCTCTTTCATCTCACTCTTATATGGAGGATAAGAATCTGTGGGATTCGTTGACAAGCATCAAACTACTCCTGGATCTTTTATAGGAACGGTCGATAAAAAATGAACGTGAGTGATGTCTTCTTTGCTTGAAACAATAAGACAGATATACCAGTCCCATCATCTTTCTTAGCTAACAAGTTACGTAATGCAGTGAGTTTAAGATTTCATACAGTGTCACATGTCGAAACATTATTCCTAAGGAGTCAAATGAGTATGCTACTGGATTGTTTTTTGACAGCATAGATACCGGAAATTAGCGCTATCAATAGCGTAATAGTGCCAATTAGTCAGCAGTAGAATAAACTAGTGAACTAATCTTGTTGTGGTGTTTTATTTGACCAAACTTGCGTACACATATATCCTAGTACTTCTTCTCCTTTATTATTGTGTCCTAACGTTGTGTTTGCACAACGTTCACAACGTAAATAAAAAGGCACTTGAGAGGGGGTACCAAACGTGTATTGTCTCAATAATCAAAATTCAGAAACTGAGCGAGTACAAAAGTATCAATTGTTAACACACGATATTTAGAGTGATAAACAAATCAAAGTCCAATTACATAGTGAAAGTATACTACCCAAAATGAGTAATAAACTGGGTCCCTACAATCTATTTTTGAAACAATCATCAACATTCATTACGTCGAAATTTCAAAACACTAAAGTTCTTGTTGCTAGAAGTTCTCGAAGTCTATATTCTCTGCTAATGGTCTCAAAGAACATGCATAGGATGAAATTGGGGGTCACAGTACCACTTCGTCATATCTATAGATGTTGTTTTTTTTTTCTCACTGATAAGTACTTTTATAAGGTAGTTAGTTGTCCCCTCTTCTAGTAACTAACACACTTTTTACCGGTAAATTAAACCAATCTTCGCGTTTAGAAGTGTATTAAATTCGGCAAATATATTAGCTGCAATAGAGAAGAGGTTGAATGTATAATGAAACTTATAATATAATCTCAGATATTTGTTTTATAAGAACTCTCATATATTTCACTTTCGTTCAGTATTATTTTTTATTTCTCATTTTACGCTTACATACATCAAAAAATGGGTCCATTCTTTGAAGTGAAGAATCCATTAGTGCCCCTTCTTTTTCGTCGTGAAATATTACGTCACAACTTGTTTTTACTACTTCACTAGCGATTATTCCATCAATACATTACTATTATTACTGTCCTTTACGAGTGTAATAAAGGGCTTAGACAGAACATCTCCATTTCACTTGGTTCTGTACCACCACTTCCAACTACCTTCACGATAGTCCACAAGCCTTCATTTGCTGTTCACATGATCTCTGTGTCACCCTCAGATGCCCACCCATCACTTCCTATTCGGGTTCTATTTGAAGGTCTGGTATACAGTGTCACTTGAATGTGTCCTACTCGTCAGGGTTTCTTGTTGTTTATCCCTTTCAGCCAGCCATCTTCAGTAATAATCTTCAGTATCGAATCAGTGGATGCAGGTTTAAATGGAAGTTTGCAGCAAACTTTTGGAAATGTTTCTGTTGGGTATCTTCATCACCTGTTACCTGTCTTCTCTATGTTCACCTAAAGTCCTCCGATCTTCGCTACCCTATCTTTCCTCTTAAGACGACTATTATCACTTCCTTCCATGTCGCTTTCACATCGTGCCGACATCCTTCCACGCAGGTTTACTTAGTGACATCGCTTAATGTCGCCAAGTTATCCTTTAATGACTGGATTGAAGAAGTCCTTTGTACTTGCGTTCAACACTAACTTTTGCTGACTGATATAATAATGTTTCTCCTCCTTAGTTTCCACCGGTAACTAAATCAAAATATCCATTGAAAACCAAAAGGACACTAGAGAATTGTTTTGCTGTCATTATAGAATACTTTAGTTTGCTTATTGTCTGATTTCCGATAAACTGGAAGATATGCAAGTCAAAAGCAACAAGTTCGCTGAAGAAGCATCAAAGATGGGACTTCAATTCAGGTGAACATAGATAAAACAGAGGTGATGAAGATTCCTGGCCAACACCAACAGCCACAGCGACAACAACAGACAACAATCAGCCAGAATAAATAGGACGAACCTGAAAGAAACAACCTCCTTCACCAACCTAACTACCTGGGAAGCATCGTTTCAACTACAGGCCAGCGGAACTGACGAGGACATCAAAGCCAGAATCGGAAAAGCAAGACAGGCTTTCACTGCTCTCAAGTCTGTGTGGAGGTTAACAGCACTCAGAATCAAAAATAACATCCGGATTTTCTCCTCAAATGTGAAGTCAGTCAGCGCAACTAAAAGGATCAGAGACTTGACCAGTGCGTCATAAAGAGCATCTCCAACAAACTCCAGGCCTTCATTAACAGTTGTCTTCGCTCAATACTCAAGATCAGATGGCCAGCCAGAAAAGATCAGCAACCGGGATCTCTGGCAATGAGCGAACCAACACAGCAGGAACCGACTGTGAAACAAATAGGCAGGAAGAAATGGAGATGGATTGGCTGGCCATACTCTGAGGAAACCATCAAGTGACATCACTAGACAAGCCATTGCTCGAGTAGAACCCGAAAGAGAAGCGGCGAGTTCGTCGTCAGTGCGAGGGTGACTTGGAAGAGGTCATGTGGGGAGGAGATGAAAGCATGTGGGCAGACTTGGAGCGGCGTGAAAAAGTTGGCAGCAAACAGAAGGCAATGGTGACGCGCGGCTGAAGCCCTATGTTTCTCTAGGAATTAAAGGATATAATAATAATAATTTATTGCTTAATGAAGTAGTGAACGCATAGCACACTACTATACGGCTTATGGTCAATTGACTTACATTTCTTTCTAAATTCGGTCATTTCCAGTCTAGTAACTGACTGATAACTCATTCGCTTAGTTATCAACCAGTGTTATTCAAGATTTAAATACAAGAGACGATCACATCCATAAGTATACTAAAGGGAATAAAAACTTTTATCTTCAAAAGTTTATGAATAAGATAGTTTTTGACGCCTTTTTTTGTGTAAAACAACTGTGTAGCACAGGTGGAAAGAAGGAAAACAAACAAATAATAATTTTGAATACACAAAAAAAAATGTATATGGTAAAACCAAGTGCGCGCACACACACACGCGTGAGGAGGATCCAACAACATGATACAATGGTAAATACAAAAGTGTAACAGTTACTCCAGATTATGTATTCATATGCATTTTGTGCAGGCCACTTAACAGATTTATTCTCTGTACTGCTTCTGTTTGATCGGCGACAATTTGAATATACGGTTTACTTGATCCTGGAATATTTGTTTTAACGATAATCTCTTCACAGATTGTATCTAGAGCCGTTGACGAAGCAATCACTTCAATAGTTATTACACTACCTAAAAAGAATAGGGGAAGAAAAAAGCATGTTTATATGTGCATTTGTTAAGCGCTTATTTATTATCTACTTTATTGGTGGTTAACATCGACTGAGATGGTTAGGACATGTGTTACGCATGCACAACTAGTCATCACCTTCCTGGACGAGCAATGTTAGCTGATATAGGGTCAGGCTGGAAAAGAGCTAGCGGCGGTCAAACCAAAACATGGTACCAGTTAATGAAATCCACAACAGTTAGTTTAAGCCAGCCACGTAGGAAGGTGTAGACTTTCTGACTGGTTGGGGTCTTCGGGACGGTAAAAATCAATGATTGGAAACAATTGGTGACATGGTTCAAAGAGATCGTTCTCAATGGCTGGTGCTGATGCATCCACTCCTTGTGACTTATGATTTCCAATGAAACTGTTTTGTTCTTCGTTACTACTATTCCTTTGTCTCACACCTCTGTTTACTGTCTCTATTATGCATTTCTTGTACTTTGTTCTCTTGCTTTGTGTGCTACAAGGAGGGAGTGTGGTGACTTGAACTTCCGCACATATGTGCAAAGTTCTATGTCGAAAACAGACAGACAGACGGAATATTCTATCCTGATGGAACTCGCAAACTGATGAGTTCAAAATGGGCAGAAACACTCATAGTGAATGCGAGTGTTAATTACTACCCACCCAGGAAATAAAATCAAAAATGAATCCGGAGATAGAGAGAGAGATTATTCCTAAGCAAACAATTCAAAAACACAAAAGTTTTAAATTAGCTAATCTCATCTAGTGTCTAGTGTTGTCGACAGAGATATTCGAATTCTCTTGTTGAGAAAACAACTTCAAATGGTAGAATAAATAGTAAGTTATATCTGACAAGATAATTGAGTTAGCCGATAGAATTCGACGAAACCAGTTGTAAAGTTTAACGAACTGTGATACTCAAAAGAATAAAGAGTCTTCAAGCATACTTTCTAGATCATTTCATAAGAAAGTTAAATCGGACAGTTGATTCAATGATACTCAACAACCATTTATATGTCAAGGTCTCACAATAAATCTGAGTAAAACTCTTGTTCACTAATGTCAGACTGAGGCATGATCAGCAAGTAGTTCAGATGACACAGAATTTAACAAGTAATCTGTACTTCAGTTGTTTATGCCTTTTAATAATCCATGTATTTCTCTCAGTCTCAATCATAACCTCTTTGTATCAATGTGCATTTTTTGACAAGCATTTTATATTATGAATCTTCACTAAATCAATATGATTATTTGTTAAACAGAGAATATGTACAGTAAACCGTGTATGGTCCACCTGATTAACTGACTCAGTTTTCATAAGAAAAAGTTAAATCATTTGACTACAATAACTTGACTTGAATCAGTTGACCAGATCTCAATTTTCCTACTTTATACTAATACCAAACGAATCAAGAAAAAAAAATAGAAGCAGCCTTGAAAATGATATTGAAAATCCACTAGTTATTAAATAAGCTTAAATATAATTCTTAATCTCACCCATTTGCATATGATTAATATGCTCGATTTCCCTTTGTGTATAGTATGAAGCATTTTGCCTATGTATGTAAAACAGTAAGCTATATATTGACATAATTGATTTGTATATGTCAATACTACATCTGGTCATCAGATGTTCATACATAAATTAAATTGATTTTTTTTATTCTTTTATCAATCTTACAAACCACACATCTTTATGCATGTCATCCATTCGAGTATGAATTCAATTGACATTTAATCATTGATCGATAAAGACAAGAGTTAATTCCATGATAATTCGGTAATAATAATAATATTAATAGGTGATAAGAGGTTATAGAGGTGCCAACATAAAAACTAGTCATCGTAATGTAACTTTGCTCAATAATTTATTTATCCTAACTTCTTCAACTAACAATAACTTCGATGACACATACATCTCAAAGATATCAGTAGTTAGAAGAGTAATCATTGTCTGTTGATGTTGCTTCCTGTCGAGATCAAGCATACATAGAAGTCAGACTTAAGTAACTCTTAGATTGGTTTAAGTATCGCAACGATTCATACTGCGAAATGGAGTTTATAAATTCAGTTGGAACCCAGTTTCTAAGGTTCATATGTTCCACAAACTACTATTGCTTTTATCATATATATATATATATATATATATATATATATATATATATATATAACGCTATTTGAGTAAAAATGAATTAAGGCTATTAATAGTGCTTAATGGATTAAGATTACCTGTTCAATAAGTGCTCGATCTGCTCCCTTAACAATCTCCTAGAGCTTAGGTCCAGATTATGTACCTAGTATTATTTTTTAAAAATGTTCTGATATTCTGTGTCACTCTCTCACTGATCTATTTAATAAATCTTTTTCCAATAATGTTGTGCCTGCCGTTTGGAAGGATATTAAAGTTGTACCCATACCTAAATCATCTACTGGAGCATGTGTCAAATTTAGACCCATTGCTATTACCTCTCCTTTTTTGAAAATTACGGAGAAATTACTTTTACTTAGTCTTTTACCTTCGCTTAAATCCTTTAATGACCCTAAACAATCTGCCTATAAGCACAGTAGAAGCACTTTAGATGCAGCTGCCGTCTTATATCATAACATTGCTTCCAGTCTAGACAAGGGGGCTAAATTTGTTCGTTGTGCCTTCCTAGACTATACATCTGCTTTCGACTCGGCTGCTAGTCAAACAGAATGTTGGGCTGTTAACTGGTTACATTCCTATTTCTCAGATAGAAAGCAGTACACCGTATATAAAGGGAAGTCTTCCACTTCATTGCCTACTGAAGCTGGTGTCCCTCAAGGTGCTGTTCTTTCTCCTTTTCTTTTTTCTTTCTTCTTGCATGACTTGCCTCACTCTGATGAAATAAACTTTGTGAAGTACGCTGATGATTTAACGGTTTCAATGGCTGTTAACTCCCAGCTAGATTGTACTAAAATAAATAGCTTTCTATCGGAAGTCAGCAAATGGTCTGAGTCTAACGGTCTTAAACTGAATCCTTCTAAGTGTCAAACTGTTGATTTCAGCTTAAGATGTAAACGACAGTTAAAAGAAGTCATCGATTCTCATGACACTTGTAAAATTGACGACAATGATATAGGAATCAAATCAGAAATTAAGTATCTTGGACTCATTCTCTCTTCTGATCTCTCCTGGTCTTCCCATGTCTTAGCAATCTCCAGTAAAATATTCCGCCTGACATTTTACATTAAGAAGTTAAGACACTCGGGTATAACTCAACCCTTCCTCTTACAGTTCATAAACTCTTGCATCCTACCTATTCTTCTTTATTGTTCACCCTTATTCTTTCCTGGTTTGCTTAAAAAAGACTATGTCACAATTCGTAGAATACTGAAGACTGTCAGTAGGGTGAGTGGTGTCCCAGTGGACCACATAGTTAACGTCGTTGTCGATAGGCACTTGACTTCGTGCAATAAATTTGCTAAAGGGATTTTGTCTGACTTGGAGCATCCGCTTTACCCTCAGCTTTCACCTTGCATCTCCTCAGGTAGAACAAGGAGTAACTTCAGAAAACTGTATGCTCGCACGTCTAAGTATAAGAATTCTATGATACCATACTTGGCACGTATTTTATGTGATGAAAATAGTGTCAGGCAAGAATTAACTAACCTTTTTTCATCTAGTAAATAAACAATTTCCTCCATCCATCCTTACATACCTTCAAGTTTTACTTTTATTACTTCTATTATATTTATGGTCCTGTTAATTCTCTGTTTTACTCTCATAATTGCAAACACCAACTTATCTCCATGACGGCTGTAATCTTTGTTTTTCCCCTCACCATATCATGTAAAGAGAACATTATATTCAATATTTTTAAACATGTTAGGATTTCTATACCACATTGCCAATACTGTGTGGCACAAGCCAACGGCAATTTTCACTTGTATTCCTATTATTATTACCCTAGCTGTTATCATTATTATTATTTCCATTTTATATGCTGCATGTTTTTGACATGAACCCTATTGTAAATGTGAAAAATTTTCTGTGTGATTAATTTTTATTTATAATTTGAGGAAATTAGATGCAATATTGTGATTAATGCTGAAAATTCCATTCTGTATCACAAGTACTGTTTTTGGAATAAAGTAAATCATTATTATTATATTGCTTTGTCTTCAGTGTTAACAGTATATTTGTGCATATGTTTATATCTGCCGTGCCTCTTTTATTGTATTCATATTACGTCGCGGTTTGGTGGCAGAGAATTCTCTCCACTCATGTGCGAGATCCCGGGTTCGATTTCCGACTGACGCACTCCTAAACTTCGCTAGGCTGTTAGTAATCTCAGTAAAGAGTGAAGGTTGGGCATGAGGTCAGCAACATCACTTCGTAAAACTAAAACCACTGCTACCAAAACTACGAAGGTGAAGCTTGAATGCAAAGGAATAAAATCATAAATATTGCATCACAAGTCAAACCTATCAAGAATGCCACTGTAGCATAAAATACGCTTGTTTTATGAAGGCTAAGTGTGTTATCTATTTATTTATTTTAACTGTCGTAAATAAATCAGCAGCTGAGCTCGGATCCCTGGATGGATGTGTTTACGCGTTACTTATTTTATTTATTTTTTTCATTTTTTATTACAGCTTGATTCCACACTGTATTTTTGGTACAAGTATGGAATTTTCAGCATGGATATCGGTAGCCCAAATTTTGCAGGCCGACCATAGATATCAGGTGTGAGTCGGCGTGGGCTCGAACCTCGGACCATGTGCATGGTCAGCGAGAGTCCTAACCACTGACTGTGCCACCGACGCACAAGCGCTCCCGCGCCGGGAGTCGAACCCGGGCCGCCTAGGTGAAAGCCAGGAATCCTATATAATAATAGTATTATCGAAACTATCCAGAATAATTATTTTGATGAAACTTAACATTGGTTATATAAAGTTGATTGTATCACCGATGCTGCACGCATTAACGGGGGAAAATAAAACCATAATAAGAATAGTTGTTAATGTATAA